TCTCCATGTGGGAAATGTATATACAAAAATAACCTAGGAGAAGAGCACAGAATGATTTGTACTGGAAGCTGCAGCTTATCAGGAGAATGGTATCTGGCAGGGGCACAGCAATCGTCTGGCAGAACGTAGCACATTTCCAGTTCTGGCAGTTCCAGCAGGGCTGCAGGCAGCAGGGGATTGATGGCAGCCAGGCCTTAAACCCACTAGGAGTTTGCCACTCTCTGTGGGGGACGTAAGTAGACATGACCCTGTATTCTTCAGGAAGTAAAAAAATATTTTTTCCTGAAGTGCTACCAGAGGACAATGATGATTATTGAGTATTACATGGACTCTAGGAACTCCACAGAGAAAGGCTGGGACCCTCATGTCAAACCTGGAGAGAGGTGGGGGGCTGTTAAAGTAGGTCCAAGGAGGATACTGACATCAACAGCAGCAGGGTCAGTGTTGAGCACCCCTTACAAGGTGAACAGCAGCATCTTTTGAACCTTTCCCTTTTTTAGCTTTGTGCCAGCCTGGCTGGCTGGGGTAGGAAGCAACGGTGCAGCTGCCCCATTTACCTCCTAGGTCTGTGTTGATGAGCTTTTCTGCAGCCTCGTAAACACCAATGGCTTCAGACAGAGACTGAACGCTGAGTACTGAACACTTTCCTTCAAGTGAGTCAGGTTTCCAGTGATGTGGTAAAAAACAGAGCAAGATCAGAAAGCCCTTAGAGGCTGCCACACAGGAGAGCAAGTCTGGGCAGTGACTAAACTTCACACCTGTAACAACACCCCCCACAACTTCCCTTTCAAGCACACAAAAAAATTATCAGATAACATGCTGCAAATTCTAATTATTACTCTTGGGCAAAGACATACATTTCATTCATACATTCATCCTCTGCACCAGTTTCTGCACAGCAGACCAGCAGTAAGGTGCCCACACAGCATTGTTACAATTAGCAAAGATCAAGGCAGTGTTCAGAAAAACACACCATTTGCTGCAGAAGTAATTGACAGAGATATGCCAGGTAAACATGAAAGGAATGGTTTAGGATCAACCCAGTGTAATCAATCAACTCGACAGCGCACACTGAGGAGATTAAGCTACATTTGCATTTATACTCTAACCTGGTGTCTCAAAGGAGAACATCAGAATGTTTGTCTAGGTGTTACAAATTACTTGGAAAAAAGAATGCCTTGATGCAGATAACAATTACAGTGTGTTGATTGCTTTGGCTCTTTCTGCAGTGAAACAAAACACTAGCTCACACCAAGGGATTTCAGTGCTGTCAGGGGGAGAAATTCCTGCATCGTTCTCTAGGAGCTGGAGGTTTTAAGCATGTTGTTGTATGCTGGCAATCATAGCCATACTAGAATAATCTTTTCTGACAAAAATAATCCAGGATTAATCACTAAACTCACAGAGAATGAGTGGGGAAGCACAAAATGAAGGATGAGACCCAAAGATACTTAGTATCCTAGGATGATTTTTGCATTTTGCCTGGCCAGATGCCACACAGAAGCAGCTTGCCCTGTTTGTCTGGTAGCAGCTTTTGTGTGTTCCATTGTATGACAGTTGAGTATGGATGGCCCAGTGGGAAATCCAGTAAATGGGAGAGTTTTATTAGTAATCATAGAGAGTTTGCAAAAGGCTATGGTTGTTTGCTTTCCACTTTATCCTGACCTAGTGATTAGGGATGCACTGATCATTATTTGCTTATTAAGTCTTGAAAACAGAGGGCAGAAATTTACTCTCTTCACAATCAGCAAGTGTTCATATGAGCTTTTGGATTATAGAGCAGATGCAGTAACTACTGAAGTGAGATTTTTCAGGAACATTACAGGCTTTAGAAAGTGTCTTGCATGACTGGAATGAACCAAAGCTAAGATTTAGCCATTGTTTAGATATTAAACCAAAGTTCATTTAACTATTTCTTCCTTTCATGAAAGGAGACCTTTAAAGCCATGTGCTCAAGTACATGAGATGACCTATAAAGTTTGGTAACCATAATTAGTTCTTTGAAAGAAAAGGTGGATACATCCTTGCATCCCTGGGTGAAGACCAAGACCCAGCAAGAGTGGGATTTTGGATTCAATCATGTCCTCCTGCCTTCTAATTTGGTGGTAGCTGTTTTGTATCCTATTTTAAGATTATCCCCTTAGAGCATCTTCATTTCTAAAAAGAACTGAGCCTCTGAGGATAACTTGTGTGTCAATCCATCTCCCAGTGCAATCTGAGTGCTAAAATTCTGGAAACTGGTTTCTATCAGTGTCAAAATATATTTCCCTCAATGCTTCATGAATGGCACTTATATAATGTTTTGAATTTCTTAGACTGTAACATTCAGCATTTTATATCTAATTTGTTAATTTTCTTTAAAGTAGCACACTCAGCCATTTTAATAACCTCGATGTGCTCTGTAACAAAAAAAAAAACACAACAATTATCTGTTTATCCCTTAGTGACCAAAATAGAAAATAAGACCTCAGAATTTCCTCTTAAAAAATTCAAGTCAGTTCCCTAATATGACAATAATACTAGAATAAAACATATAAGCCAAGGATAATGCTATGCTCAATATTTTATTTATATTTTTATGTAAACATAATTTGCTTTGTAGGCACAATATAACAAAAGCTCTAAAGCAACAAATACAATTAAACAGTGTTTCAGTTCACTTCAATCAGGCTTAAGTTAAAGAGAAGCTTTCACAGTTCCTTTAAGGCAAATTGAGAAATAATTTGTTTCACTTGAAGAAACTATCCAATTGTCTTAGAGTTGTTTAAGCAACACTGTCAGTAGTAAGCACAAACCTTCATTTCTACATGAAGACTTGGTCAGTAACAAGTCTCAGCATCACCATTTTGTATAGCATGCCCTCTACCACTTCAGACTTGATACTACTCTTTGTGGTACTCTAAAAGCTACTTAGGGCTTGTGGGCCAAATTCTGCTAGCACAAATCCTGCTTCCAGAACGGATACCTAAAAACTTCAATAAATTTCAGTAGTAACCTTCATATATGCCATACTAATGCCATACTAAAACACAGAGTGGAGTTCGCTCGCTGCTGGTAATACTCATCTGTGTTGCACTTAGACAGATCCAGAATTATTCCTTTGTACCCTCTGCAATTACCTGACACTCTGCTGATCAGAAAATGGCCCCAAATTGGTATGAATTAGCATGAAGAGTATTTTTGCCTCGTTACCAAAACCAGAAAGATCCAGCCAAAATTATTTGATTGTTGTCCTTACGGTGTCTGTTGGCCATGACCAAGATCACCCCTCTTTAGTTGTCCCAAAGGGTAATTCAACCGTAGAGCCAACCATCTTGCGGTTTGTAACAGAAGAACGGAGTTGCTATTCTGCTTGCCCTACTAATTTAAGGCCTTGAGAATGCCACTTTACTGCCAGCTCAAAGATCACCAGCAATATTGCTCACTTTGGCATCAAATCAAAAGTCCTAGTTATGTTAAGGTTTGTTGCAGGACAACATCATTACACTAACTGCAAAAACAAAATTGGGCATGTTTCCTGCCACTTTCACCTTATGAGTCATGAAAACTTAATGGCCTTTCTTAAAAGCCCAGTTGGCAAGCCTAATACTTGGAAAACTCTCACTGAATGTATGTTTTTTCTGTGGATCAAGTCGCAGTTTGGGTCTGATGTGACACTGGAATTGCAGGCAAGTCCAGCTTGAAAAGGAACTCAACTATAGTGAAGTTCTGCATCAACATCTAGAGAAAACTGAAGTTATGGTTCAATTAATATTTTTCAAAAGCTTTTTCTGGCTTTTTTCTCCAGAGTTCTTTCTTCTCAGTATTTTTGAATGTATTTAACCAAAGGGAAACTCTGAAAAAGAACATTCTGCACAATTATCTGGTATTAGAACAGCAACTTCATGAGTGTAGTGTAAAGAGATGGACATTAATATTCAGGCAGCAAAATGAAATGAACAGAAAAAATAAGGCAATCTTCTAAAACCACACATAGAAGTCATTCAAATGCACAAGTCCTTTCGCATTGATAAAAGCCTGAGAAGCCCTCCCTCTCCACTTTTCTGTATCAGTTTTTAACTTCTATCACTACAGGACCCTTATAGATTTAGGTGAACAACTAGCCATGCTGGGGGAAAGATTTTCTTTTGAAAAAAATATATTAGTTCAAAGATATATGGCATTATACAAGGTCTCTGACATTGCTTTAGCATTTCTGCTGTAGGTGATTGCAGTAATTTCAAAATAGTTGTTTTAACAAGACAATTGAGCACCTGAGTAGCTGCTGCTTGGATGGGTGAAACACACAGAAAAATACTTACTTTTGTCATGTTTAGATATAGTTTCCACTAGTGGGAGGTAGATAAGACTAGCTGGTCATTGAATACTTGATCCTGCAAATCATTACGAACATAAATGTACATATGGAGCAGAGATTTTGAGAACTACGCACTTCAATAAAGTTATCCCTGTGCATAATTTCTGATGGGATTAAGGCCTAAAACTAATTTTTAACAAGTTTAACTTCTGTAGGAGTTCAGCTCTGGCTTGCAGTTGATCAACACATAAGCGACTTCAGACCAGTAAACGCCATAAATAAATTTCTTTCCACATACTGATGAGTGAGCCTTACCTACATGATTAAAAAATAAAATATAAAATTGGTTTGGATTTTGGACAGAGATGAGTCACTGTGTCCTTAGCAGAAGTTGATCTGTCAATAGCAATGCTAATTGCTACAGGCCATTAAAGTTCTGAGTCTAAAAAGAGTGGCTCACTGACCTTTTTCTTTGCCTGTAACGTACCAGTGAAAGCATGATAGTTGGCACTCTGAATAAAGTATGTAATTACTAATTCTGATGACTAATGTGATTATATAATACTAATCAAAGTCACTCAATCAATAATTTCTTGTACAATTTCAGATGCCACAATTCTAAGTGAGGTATTTTTGAAAATTAAGATAGGATTGCTCATAAAATGATAAAGCATGACTGAGGAAACTGAAAACTCATCTTTTTTTGCAACTTTCATCTGTGCCTCATAAAGAAAAACTATTTTAACACTGCAAATCCACAAACTTAAAATCTTCCCTCCAGTTACTCAAATCTTCCAGACAGCAAGTGGGGCATTTTTTTGTTACTGTTTCCAACTTGCAAAAAAAGCCCAAACAACTTTAGGCAAAATGTTGGAATTTGCATGAGAAAGATGCCCATCTAAAATTACACAGTAAATTAATAAGGCTTTTAAACTGGAACAGAAAAATACATGGGACTTCTACAGGGAAATTGGGTATTACACAGGAATGTCATAATACTGCACTGGATGAGAATGGCACTTGAGTTCAAAACAACAATGATCAACAGCTCATAGCTCAGCTGACTGCAGACAAATACAACACACACTGTACTACAGCATTTGTTCACTGATGCACAGAATAGATCTCCTCATCTTGTTCCCTTCTACTTCATCGATCTTTCTGCTTCCACCACCTCTGGCAGTTACTGGATGAACGGCATGCGCTCTTTATTTTCATTGTCCCCTTCATGGTCTTCTTCCTCTTCTCCAGCCTCACTTGTCTCTGTGCTGTCATTGGCCATCTGTAGGATGAGAGATGGAGAACATCAGAGTGCCTTTCACATTGTTTTATTCATTCTTATTTTAGTTTGATTCATTTGACAAAGTGACTTTAAAAATGAAAGATGACATGGTTGCAACATGAAAATAAGCATTCTGTCTCTGCAGAGCTTGTTGGCATTACACCACTTCCAGCTGCAATTTTAAGCTGTTCCCTCATGGCTTACAGATTAATTATGTAACAGAAAGCTGCTTTGTGAGTCAGTTGCAGAAGTTTTCCTTATCTTCTTTACTGCTCTTTTCTACATCATCAGTGAATGTTCAGGCATGAGCCTGGCTTTCACTTACTGCTTGTCTCTGTAATGTTTCAGTACCATGTTATGTGTTCCAAATCCAGTGGACCAGAGTTCTATCACAACTATCTCCCTTCAGAACATTTCTAGAAGGAAGAACTTAGATACTATACTTCATATACCATAAAAAAGTAAAGGAAATTCCTACCAGAGGCATATCTGACTTTTTTATGGGAATCAGAAAGTGCTTCAGCATTTGTACACTGAAGTAATATTGTCTGTGTCTTCTGTTCAATCCACTTATTCGCATTAATGCAGGAATTTTCTATTATGTGAAATATCTATTTGTTTTCCATTACAGGGACAGAAATAGATGTGGCACTTTTACCCTGAGACTTGCAGATACATTTTTGGAGAGGCAGATAACCATTTAACATAGAAAAGTAACTGCTGGGACTCTAGGAATTACAATTATATTTCACTGTAGGTTAAATTTATAAATCATGATCATCACTTGTATTTAGGTGCTATGGATTTAGAAGAAAACACTATTGAAAAAACTGTAAGAGATATGCCTCTAGAAGTCACGACCATGCTTTAACTTGTGTAACTGCACATGATGCATGTAGCACTTTGCCCTCACCAGGGGAGTGGGTGCTTTCTCCACATCCAGAATTAGTTTTCCAATATTTCCTCGATCATGGATTCTCTGCATGGCCTCCTTCACCTGAAAGAAAGATAATCTAATTATATTTTACAGGCACACACTAAGGGAAGCCTGAACTCCTTCCTTCCAAAACCAGCAATGCATTTAAGGCATGCTGTGTGCAAAGTCATTCAAACAGCTGCTTGAAACAAAATTAATAGTTAAACATTTTCCAGTGCATTTGAAAGGCATGATTCTTGCATTGTTTGCCAAAATGGGATGTGAGTTTTGAGGACAGTTTCTGAATAGTGTACACATACAAAAAGTTAATGCACTAGAAAAGTAATAGTTAGCTGAGGTACAGAGCAAAATATAGGCTCAGGGAGTTAATAATTACTGGCTGTTCATCAGATTTTCTCTTTGCAGAGTATTTATCAAGAAGCCCAACTCTCACTGACAGTATGAAATGGTTTTTGATTGACCAATCATTTTTTTTCTATTGATTCCTTTTGTGGTCCTGTAGAGGGAATGCTGAATCCAAGCATTGTCTGTGATTAATGCAACACTGTAGTTCTCACTGCATAAGCAAGTACCTCTTTCCTTCTTTTTTTTTTCCACTTTTTTAATAAGTAGTGTTCTACAGATGCCACTAAGGCTAGACATTTAACAGCTGGCTGCAATTAGCCCATGTGAGAAAGGAACAAAACCCTCTTCCTATTAATGCACCTGAAAGGAGCTTATTTTGATGTATGAAGTTTCAGAACTCATGAGAGGTCAGTGTTGATTAACTGAAATTTTGAGTGTGTTGCTCTGATGTTCAATGTGCAACTTGCAGAGCACTATTAAATCACTGGAAATTGGAAGATGTCAAGAGTTTCCTCACTTTAATGGTGAGAAACTTCAGGAACTGAAAATGCATACACAAAAACTGTCTCATACCCCCATCACATTTTGCCAGCATAAGAGGATACGTTGAGACAAGAAAGAGTTTTATGTAAGTAGGATCTACCATCTGTGACACAGAGTTTTGTTGAATATTTAGAATAATGGCATAGAAGACTGAAACAATATGCTGACTTGGGAGCAGGTGGGTCCCACAGAACATTGAAACGTCTGAACTGGGGTCCAGACACCTGAGATAATTACAGAATGTCTACTACAGAAGAAGGTATGAGATTTTTAAAGATACTAAGTGAATACGGCTTTCAACTTCCAATTCATTTTAATGGCTGCTGGATACAAAATGTCTTTACCATCTGTTGGCCTTGTTTTGAAAGCCAACTGCAGTGAACTCAACATTACAACCTTAATTTTGCCAAGTTGTTCCCTCAATTAGTAAATACCAGACTCAAACAAAAAAAAAAAATAATAATAAAAAATATTAGACCAGAAGAAAAGCAGGTGGGTCCCACAGAACATTGAAACGTCTGAACTGGGGTCCAGACACCTGAGATAATTACAGAATGTCTACTACAGAAGAAGGTATGAGATTTTTAAAGATACTAAGTGAATACGGCTTTCAACTTCCAATTCATTTTAATGGCTGCTGGATACAAAATGTCTTTACCATCTGTTGGCCTTGTTTTGAAAGCCAACTGCAGTGAACTCAACATTACAACCTTAATTTTGCCAAGTTGTTCCCTCAATTAGTAAATACCAGACTCAAAAAAAAAAAAAAAAAAAAAATTAGACCAGAAGAACAATTGCACTGCAAACCACAATGACTTTCTAACTTAGGGCATAATTGTAAATTAACCTTTGAAACCACAATCTTACAAATCCCTCTGGACAGAAGGCTGACCTCTATGTGTAGTCCACAAAATCACAATAGCTTTTCTGAAGTTACCTTACAGCACAGACAAACCTAACTATCCCCTAAGACTTGTTCTGCACTATGGACATTATTATTTTAGAATATTCAACAAGGACTGAAGAAGCAGCAACTGTATTATTTCTTATGACTCTTATTAGTCAAATCAAGCTTTCTGGAGTCTACAGCACAGTATAAACAACCAACATAGATGTGAGAGAATTTAAGAAACCAGCAAACACACTTGCCCGTCCATTGAAATTTATCACCAGAACCATCATGTGGAAAGCAGGCTGTGCAACATTTCCTTTAATTTGTACCTTATCATATTTAGCAAGGCAAATTTGAGAAAATGTGCCTTCTCTGCATTTTTGTCACACACAGTATCAAATTTAAGGCCCTGGAGAAGGGTTCAGGAGTTGCTTCCAGGACACTTGTAAGTAACTTGCAAATGCAAACAGCAGGCAGAGGCAAAGGGAACAATAAAACTTGTAACAATAATAGTAGCTACAGAATCCAGATGGAACTTTTGCAATGCATTAAAAAGGTGTATAAGAAGTCTGAATAGCTGATACAACAGCTGTATTTTAGCATTATTTGCAACTTATCTATCCAGTTAGTCCAATTCTGTACTAGTGCAATGCCATTCAGTACACTATGTCTGAGTTAAAAGACCATGACCTATTTTATGAGAACGTTTTCTGTTTATGGCTGCTAACAGTCCACTTATTCAACCAAGACTGCAACTACTTGTTTCCCAAGGTGGCTGAATATTAAAACCATTCCCTCTTATACTACAGAGAGCATGAAAAACCTTCTTTGCTATGCAAATAAGGTTAAGGCTGAAGTTGTTCTATGCAGACTAAATAAAAGCAGTTAGTTCTTCACACGAACGGTGAAGTGCTGCGTGATGCCTTGTGCAGAGAGCAGCATGGAGCTCTTGGAAGTCTGTGTCTGAATTGTTGCATGTTACCAATGAAGACAGAAAACCACTGTGCATTTGGTTAAAATCAGCCCCAGGCTTAACTGGTAGGCTTAACAGTCAGGCATGTGGATATCCTGGAATTTACTGGAGGTTCTCTGAAGTGGTGGAAGTTTGATTCAAAATAAATCTCTTCCAGTAGCAAGGATCAAAAGGGGTTTATATTTTGGTTTGACAAACAGTTTTTAAGTAGAATCATCTTCCCCTATCTGTTCAGTCTAGTGGAAAATTATAACAAATGCAGGAAAATAAACTTTTTAACTCAGTTTGAGACAATTTGCATTTACTTTAGGGAACATGCATTTATAATTGGAGAAACAATATTGAACAAGTATATTTCTCCCATCCCTTTCAGCTCCACAAATGGTACAGTCATGGACATATCCTCATTCAAATGTTCTTCAGATGTGACAGTGAATCTGGAAATTAAGATAAACTATGCAATAAGGAAGTCATCTGTAAAACAAAAAACATGGTCTAGAAAGATCAATGCACCTCAAGGTCCTTTACAAGTCATGCTTACCATACCCTGTGAGAAATACTCAGAAAATCTGCAGCACTTAGCTAGTTATTATGGCAAATGAGAATTTTAGTGTTTTACAAGCTCCTTCCTCATATTACTCTGCTGGACCCAAGCAAAGTGGCAAGAAATAGAAAATATAAAGAGCTTAAGTGGTAAAGTACAGAAGCATTGCACTGTGTTAGCATTAAAAGGTGTTCTGTTACCAGTGCTACCAAAATAATTCTTCAAAGAAGTCTTGATACATACATGGGATTAAAAAAAAATAAATAAATATATATATATATAAATCACAAAGCAGGCAAAAGCCTGATATAAAAAAGCCTATTCAAGTGTGTTTGCTTGAGGGGACATTATGGTTGGGATCTCAGAGCTTCCCTTGGATCAGAGACATTTCTGTCCATCTGTATTGTGTATCATACTGAGAAGAGCAACAATTATTGTCAATAAACCTTGGTAGTAGGGTAAAAGCAGAAATGTCTTCATGTTACAAGTCAGAGAATGTTCTATAAGAAACTTCATGGTAGCTGTACTCTGCGAGTATAAAGTTTGATTACTGTACTGAATCCTCTACAACACCACTGTAGTGTGTCTCTTGGCTTACTCCTCAAAAGTATCAAGAACTTCAGATCTTGTGTCATCTTTAAAATTTCTTATTCTACTTCAGTTAGGCTCATCTCCTCCAGCCTCAAATCTTTTGAAAGTCAACCTAAGGCACTTACGTTAACCAACAATGTTAACTGATCTACTGCTTTATAAATGTAGGAAAAAGTAAGTGGAAAATGTATTATTAATTATCTGTTGCACCATTTCAAAGCATGAAAGATAAATGCAGCCTGCCTAAGAAACAGATGCTATTTTCAAGCCTTTGGATGTTATTTTAAACATAATGATCCATTTCTGTATTTGGCTCTTGTAAGGAACCAATGTCAGGAGTAAAATAAAGACACTGCAAAGTTGGAACACTGAACTGCTTGCTATGCCAATATAACACATTGGGGGCTTTATACCCATGTTAATACTATGGATGTTTAGCAGAGAAACAATGAAGGCAATATGGCATGGAAAAACTTCCTAGTGGAAAAGCCAAAACATAATGCTTTCATGACCCTACGAAACTGTTCAGCTCAGTAATATAATGAATTTTATAAATTTATTTATTTAATAAAGTTATACATTTACTTCAGGAAAAAAAACTAATTGGAAAGGGAAATGCACAGCACAACAGCTATTTTTTGAGAAGAGTTTGCAATAGTCTGTGTATACAAACTAATTTCAATCCCTGTTCCAAATTCCACTCCCTGTTCCAGTGGTCTAACTTCCCAGACATCACTAGGTTGCATGTGAATGAGAGGGGGGGATATTGGGAAAGAATAAAAATCTCACTTTGTAAAAGAATACCAATAGTATTGTTAGTTACTCAAGCATACATTTTGTAAATAAATATCCTTCAAACAGAGTTTTCACACAGGCCAGCACTTTCTGAACACTCCTCCCATCTCAGTCAAACATGAGCTTTCTTTTAAGAGAACTCGGTATTTTCCTTATGAAAGCCAAGACTGCTTCCTCCTCTTAACCTTGCCCTACTCCTCTATATGCAGCTACAACAATAAGCAGAAGTTTTGCTTCTGCACTGCTTCCCTGACAAAAAGCACTCTGCAAGAGTGTTCCTTACCAATAATTAATTCCGCCGTGTGTCTGAGAAGCCTGCAACGGCATCATGTCTGCAAAATCACATGGACAGGATCTCCATGGTGATCGTGTCATGT